CCACCTACTTCCACCTATGTGCTATTTTATTTTTAAAACTTCCCAAAGATTTGGTTTAGTTTATTTGGGCAAGGTGGTTCTTTTGAATTGTGACAGATTCAGATCACTCCTCAAATAAAAGTGAGTAATTTGTGCCGGAACCATGTTTCACCACGATAAACTGTAGTAAAATGTAGAAAATGACTAGAAATCACAAACTGTCCAATGTTAACTTTACAAAGCTTTATGAACCAGATGGCTCCATTTTGTATCTGAGGATGTGCAGTACGACATGACCAAAACTGCAAAGGTCCAAAATAGACAAAGAAAGAAAGAACCACTCCCCCTCTCTACAGTTTCACAGAACAATCATATTGACCATATATAAGATTATGTTCTGTTTCAGCCTTACATCAATCATTTTCCATGCTTTGTTAAAGAAATATGCCATTAAACAAACTATGGAGATACAATTATTGACTTACTCATTTGGTCTGATGGTCTTGTCTAACATGCAGCTTTTCAATAAAGACTTGATAGAGTGGGCAATAATTTTAAATTGCTTTTCAATTGATATTTAGAAACTTTACATCCCTGTCAGACTATCACGTATCTGCCTTTCATTTCAGCGGTGTTGGAAGCCACGATGCAAAACGCCTGAATCTGTGGCATGCACAGCTTGAAAACTAGCCAGCCAGGCTGCCATAAATTTGTTTTGGCAAGTTGAAACATTTCAAGAGAGCTGCAGCTCCCACACGCGCTGTTTATGTCTACCACTGCTACAGAAGAGACGTATTTTCAAATCAAATGCTGCAGTAAGACCTGTCCAGGGTGTACCCCACTCTTGCACGAATGGATAACGAATGGATGGATGGATGGATGGATGGATGGATGGATGGATGGATGGATGGATGGATGGATGGATGGATGGATGGATGGATGGATGGATGGATGGATGGATGGATGGATGGATGGATGGATGGATGGATGGATGGATGGATGGATGGATGGATGGATGGATGGATGGATGAATGGATGGATGGATGGATGGATGGATGGATGGATGGATGGATGGATGGATGTTGCATTAAGGACACAATAAAAACAATGCTCAATCTCACACAACACTAAGGCATCAACACTTATGAAGATAAGGAACACTCATTCAAATGTCTATATTTGAGCCTGGAATGTGAAATAAATCAGTTAAAAAATTGAATGAGATGTTGATATCATGGCAGACGTAACAAAGCTCATCTTGATGGAGCAGAATATGGCGGATTCCCAATATGCATGCACTATTTGGAAGGAGAAGACAACAATTTTAATGTTGTTTGTGGTACAATTGCACTACTTTATGTAGCTCATGTGTTAAAGCAGCTTAGATATTGAGGTTGTGGCTCTGGCTCGAGACTATGTTGTTCTGTACACTGCTAGACCTGTTTATTTGGCATCAATAAGACATTTTATCAGTGAATTTATTCTTGAGCCTGAACAATCTTTAAAGAAATTTAGGCACAGAACAGGCATTGTTTCCACCCCAGGCTCACAGCCAGCCATCCTATTAGAGCTGACTTTGAACCCAATCTCGCTGGTTGTTTGGCCCATTTTTAGCAGGATAGGCCTCTAATTTGTGAGCCTCTTGTAGCAAGTTTGTTTGGGGACGTGCTAATTAAAAGGGCTTGTTTAAAAGCCCATTTCAGTGTTGTAACTGGAACGTACTTAAAGCCATACTGGGTAACGATGGCATTTATATAGCCAAGGAGATGTTAAAAGGAGCTTCGATTTCTGCGCCTGAGTTGTCTAATACATACATTCAGCTTTGCAGTTTCACAGAGCCCACACTGATTCAGTGATCTAACATCTCTGCAGAGCTGATACTGGCTGACAGCTTGTGCTGCCTTGTTTTGTGCCTCGTTTTTACCTCCTTTGTCTAACTTAAAGCACTTAAAAATCAATATAGGACCACCATTTGAAAGTGCGCTGTTGTTCATTAGTCACTGCCCTCAGTCTGGCATTTACTCTGCATTCCCTGTGCACTTTTTTTTTAACCAACCCTATTCTCCTTCTTTTCTGCTCAACCTCTGCTCCCCCTCTGACTCCATGCAAATCAGTCAATTTAATCCCCTGACATGGTCTCACCGAGGGCCTCTGGGAGCAATCTGGCCACACTTCTGCTTTGGTTGGATGAGCATACCATGGACTAAAGACGACTTACAGGAGGAGAAGAGGAAATATTTCATGTGCTGCTTCCCATCCCCTTTCCCTCCTCATTTATGTCCAAATCATGGTGCAAGATTATCATAAACAATTTTATTTATGACACTGGTGTTAGTTCTGGCAAAAATAATGCCCAGGGTGAGCTCCTTTTTCTGCCTCCCCACAAACAACCAAATACCCCATAAAATAGACACTGAACAAAAGGGCCACACAAGTTGGGTCAGAGGTTTGACAATGTTAAGAGAAACCTAAGAATCCCATTTTTACATGTAGATTAGAGGTTTGAATTTAAATTCTTTGTTGATTAAGGACCTATAATAACTGTAGAATGATTCAATGCATGTCAGACTCATCAATATATTGTGCTTTTCACACTTGCTTATATATGTTGATAGCATAATCAACATACATATGTGTAATGGCTTCAAAAATAACATTCATTAATTGTAAGATAACTCATTTCTGCAACAGATCAAAAGCAATTCAGAATCTTAAAAATCAATCTTGAGTCAGAAACCAACTTTTGCATCAACTTTAGTCTCTTTTGTATCCCATTTTTAGGGCCAATAAAGTGGGAATATGGTGGACATATTGGTGAAGGCAATATTTCCACTATCAAGATTCTCTTCAGGCTCAGTTTATAAGATGTGAATCAAGCACCAACTTCCACAACAGCAGCCACTCGGCCACATCAACAACTGAGCACACCGCTGACTAGTGAAACTAAGAAATTAACAACTTTTCAGCTAAGCTTTTGTTTGTTTAACCCCCAGTGCCATCCTGAACTTAAAGTTATATTTCCAATATTACAAAACAAACTACTATACAGCATTTCTTTGGCGTTTCACCAAAGAAATCATGTTTTCTGAACAGTGAGATTGTTGTGTTTGATCGGTCCTGACCACCAGCTGGTCATAAACTCTGAACTCTGATCTTTTTCCAAACATGTCATACTTAAGAGCTCTTAGGCTGTTGACTGAAGAATACTCAAAGAATACTCTAAGTTATAAAAGTACTCACAGCTGTCAAAAGCTCTTTGAAAGGAAGCTCTACTTGTTTAAATCAGGTCTAGACAAAGTTCATTCGTGCTACAAGAGAGTGAGAGAGAGCAACACTTTCCGCAGGGAGGAAGATCAGAGGAAAGCAAGGTTCCTGTTTTAGTCCTTTGAGTTTTAAAATTGTCTAGTGTGTCAAATTTTAAAATGCTCTTTGTGGATTTTTTTATGATAAATAATGAGCTACATTCTCCATTGAAAACAAGCAGACTGCAGTTTCGGGAGTGCTAAGCTTATTGCTAATACAAGATGCAGAGGAAACTTTAAATGTGAATTGTGTAACCATTGTGTCTTTGTTTTAAAATATTTCTAAAACCCTGCTTTAGAGTGAATTTTACACATCCAGTTTGATGTCTTTGATCTTGATATGAATAATTTATCACTGCTCAAGGCAGGAAGGCTACAAAAATATTTAGAATGCTGTTCATACATTCGTCTTCTTATATAGGCCTAATAGCTTTTAAAGAAAAATCGAAATCTGCCAGAATCTCTACAGGTAGAGATTCTGGAATTAAAATTATTCTACTAAAGAGGGAATCTTTTATTTCTGGGGACTAGCTGGCATTTAATTACAATAGCAATCAACCAAAAACACTAAAATACCCTGACAGCCAATCAGAGCAGTCCTCCAATCAGCACCATAGCACCCCGGTTCCCTGCCTCCTGTGAAGTGATATTCAAAGCAGCCACATGTAGGCTGGCCGTGCGCTGGATCGCACAAAATTCCTTCTGTCTGCACATCAGAGTGAAAAGCAGAACGACGATCTATATGTGCAATCTGGTCTCAGGTAGTTACGGAACCGGCACATGCATCCGATGCCTGTCCCTGCTGCCACACACAGCTCTCCTTCCTGAGACTTTTCTTTGTTTCAAACTGCTTAAAGCCGGAGCGGTTTGGAGCGCTCCAGCACATCACGGTTGGCTCGTATCGGAGCCATTGTGGAATATTTTGGCTGGATTAGTGTGAGCACCCACTGACAGGTGCACGTCCTCTAACCTTTTTGGCCGGGAGCCCGTAAGGCGGTCAGCCTCTGCATTGCTCTGAAATGAACCTCATCCTAATCATAATAAACGAAAAAAAAAGTAGAACCACTAAAAACCAATGCGCAAAGCGGATCTCCATATAGAATCAAACGTGATGCTGTATGCATACAAGGTTAGTGTAAATGCGGCTTAAACGCGCGTAGGATGAGCGCAGCTCTCTGACCGGCGTATTTATCCCGCCTGTCCGTCTCCGAGGGGTCCGGAAGGTAAAGCTGCATCCTAAAATCAGCAGCTGTGTTTACCTCCTCCTGGTCTAGTAACAGTTCAAGCTGCTTTAAAGCCACCCAGAACTGCGGCCAGCCCGCCTCCACAGCCTGACTTTGACCGTGATCTTGGCTGGTTACACTGGCAAGGGACATGCCGGGTCACCCAAACCTACCTCCAGCATTCCTCCATATCCCTGCACACACACGCTGCTGTTGGATCAGGAGAATGATTTTAAGAACTGCACCGGAGCGCACATACTGAACACTTCCATCCCCAAACCGAGATCCTTAAAATGCAACTTTTCTGCTCACTCGCATCCCCTGACATTATCCCAGTGTCTGCTGTGTGCATTGTATGTATATAGACATGCTGATGATCATGCTGAGAATTATCTGTGATTTATTATTTTTTTCCAAAAGCGCCGAGGTTGCGCTGACAGCATGCACAAACACACACGAAAAAGGCGCAAAAGCCCACAAGATGCCCGGTACTTACGATTTGAGGGGGTTCTGCACCGCTGTGGCCATTTTGGTATAGTATGATAGAATGCAACACCGCAGAGCCCGGTATTGTACATGTAATGTAGCAGCTATTTCAATTTCATTCATTCTCTGGGGCTGCGGCTGGACCGAGCCAGCCAATGGGAGACGGGAGCGCTCAGTGACAGCTTCGGGGAAGTGTAGTTTTTTGCGCATGTCTGCTTGTCACACGGCGAAGCGGTGGGCACTACAAGTACCAGAGGGGATAGCGGTGCCAGTGGACCACAGGCCCGCCTCGGACCTGTAAGGGCAAAGCCATCCCCCATCCCAATTTAAAGAGAAGAGGGGGGGGGTTATCGTTTATAGAGTTATGTTGCATGGATAACTATGAATCTTTTACTGTCTAATCTGGTGATAAATTAGATTATGAGAATATCTTTAGCTCCCAATGTAAGTTTTAATTAAAGAGGTGGTAGGAGTGTATATGCAAATGGAGGGAATTATCTATCTGAAAGGTTCAGCCAGGAAACTCCTATTACACATATTAAAGTGTTAAATAATACTGTGCAGACTTTTCAGATAATTAAGACATTTATTTGTACCCATTATAAAAAAGGGGGATAAGTCATAAAATGAAATCTTCTTTTATTTCAGTTGCATAAGAAAATTATGAAAGTCCAGCATTTAATTGGAGTCCATTTCCTTTCAGGAGTAAGATAATTCTCTCTGATTTTATTTTTATGAAATCATCTGTGGCAGCGCTGGTTCTTACATGAATAGCAATCTGGGCGAGTCCCTCTGTCTGTCGCAACTTAACATAAAAGTTTTAGAAAATAAGTCCTGGACACAGCACATAGATGTTAGAGTTATAATCTGGTGGTAATACGCCACCCTAATGCTGCCCTGGGCAACTGCCCTTATAGCTCATGTTAAAACTCACCATAATTGTTAGGATTCCTGCAGTTTATAATGTCCTTTTGACAACAAAACAGAAATCTTTTCTGAGAACATGTGATCTTCGACCTTTCCTCTATGCACAGCCACTTTACACAGTCCAGAGTCCCCAGTCCTTTTTTACACTCTTTACTCTCTAGTTCATTTTTCATAGCAAATTAGATATCTGTGTGAGATGGTTGATGCTAGTCTGATTAACCATTTCTTTGTTGATCTGGTGATATATTTTGGATCATAATCCATCTGAAATTTCCAGTGATCCACAATCAAATTACCAGTGCGGTTCACTAGATTTTCTTTTCAAATTTCTCTGTATATCATTGGTTTATGTCATAAGTTCCCCATGGCATTTGGAAGCAAAACTGCCCCACAGCATAACAGATCCTCCACTGCAACCTAACGTTGCACAAAATGTCATTTTCCACATATTTACTCTTTGTTTTGAACCAAATTTACCTGGAAAGTTTGTTGTCAAGACATCAATCTTCATGAGCAAACTTTAAATGTTATATTTGGGATGGTAGGACAGAAAAGCATTTTTTTCTGGTATGATTCCCAAAAAACAGCTGGCCAGATGATGTCAAGAAGCTGTTATGGGGACCAGGTGATCCCAAAATATTACATTTTGCTCTTATTCTCTAACAGTGAACACTGGATATTTTTAATATCCCATGCAATCCATACCAACTGCTAATTTTGTAAAAAAGAAAAAAACATTATGTCTGCTTGTAAAAGATACATTTGGAAATATTTTATACCTCTACACCAGGAGTGTCAATAAATGTGGTTGACCGGTGTATATTAAGTGATGACACATGAATTGACCATGCTTTATCTCATTATCTATGAAGCCTGGCGAGGAGCATCCTAAATTATTAACTAATCAGAGGTGATGGCTCGGGTCTAGATCTGTAATTGATTTTCTCAGACATGTATCTGCACTAGATGAGCCCCAAGCAAAACTCTCTTCAAGCTCTTCACCACTTCAGCTATATTCTTTCTTGTGTGAGACATCGTTTTTCTTTGTTTGTTTTGTTTTCTGGCCTCTTGATGGATATGAGCAGTTTAATTTAATAAAAATTTCAAAGCAATATTTTAGCTGGATAATAAAAAATAAGGAAGGAAGAAACATAGCCTCGATGTTGGATTTTTTTTCTTTTTTACTGTATGTCACGTTCGCAGCAGTGTCGCCGCTCTAAAGCCTTTCGGTGACATGCGATATTTATAGATCTGTGCTCACAAATATTTAATGAACATTAGCAACCAGTTCTAACATGGCAGGACTGCTCCAGTCAAATAATTTTTGTCAGTTAAATGAAAACTTTGATTTTGCTATGGTGGTTGTAAGTGTGGGGGGGAGGTTTTTGTGAAGCATACAGGTTTGAAATTGGAAATCAAACATGACAACTTGAATTGTATTTTGTCTCCATTGATAATTTACTTTTATGATAACAGGAGTAGTAAGGTGGAGCATCTTTTTTAAATGTACATGTTGCCACAACTTGGTGTGTACAGTTTTGTGAATGGTAAAGTTGCCTGCTTTACTACATTTATCCACAAGGTGGTGCTCATACACCGTGCACAATGTATCAATGACGCTGAGCATGGCACATCTTTGAGGTTTTTTTTACCCTTATGGCAGGTTAATTTAGCATTAAATTAAACACCATTCTGAGCGTTCAATTTTCTATACTCAATTATGTTCGCACAATTGCGGCTACAGATCGTTTTCTATGTTTCTACGGCTATATTTCTTACTTACGAGAGCAGCGTGAAGGAAGCTTGTCACTGAACATCTACCAGTTTACCAAGCCTGTCTTCTATATGATCACTTTGCTTACCATACCGCACGGCGCCTCGCTCTCTGTGGCTCTTGTTGTGATTGACAGAGTCATGCTGAACTTTCGTTTTGCGTTCCGGCGTCGCCACTATGTTTTGAATGTTTAAAGGACGATGTCGGAAATACTGATGAAGGAAATGGATAGTCTGTCGGTCGGCCCGAAGAAGTCAGAGGAGTTGAGGGAGGGGGCCCGGAGCTTCCTGCTGGTGGACGAACAGGAAAACCTGCAGGTAAAGTTAGCCGAGCTAATGCTAACAGCTAGCTGTTTGGCTAAAGCGGAGCTAACGCTCCCTCTAATGGAGGCCCATGCTTCAAGCTGCATGTAGGGAGATATTTCTCTCTCTTTCTCTTTATTTATCTAGTTTTTTTTTACATCTTTCGGAACATTATACAGTTCTTTTTAAATTTACGAAGTTAGATCGTTGTAACGATTCTCTATTTCCAGCCTTATATTTAAACATGTAGCAGCGTTAAGATGTCTACTTATACCGTGTAAGTTTTAGATCATGCTCCAGAAATGTTTAGTGTTTTTAACAGCAGAAGGAAACAGAGCAGCGTGTTGACTTGTCATTAGGGAAAGCACCTAGTGAGTCATACTCTTCTGACCCACAGGGAGGCACTCTCACTTTGTTTTTATTACGTGATCAAAAGTGCAGCTAGAAAAATACTTTCTTTACTTATCTGAAAACGTTAAAGCTCATCAGGACAAATTGGTTTCTTATTAGGTTTTGTCCTGATGATTCTGTCATCCTCATCCAGACTCATTATAATTGAGTAGCAACTGAAGTCTGATCTAATGCTTCAACCTCACAGACAGCTTTCTGCCTCATCCTGTCTCTCCTCTTCCAGGTGAAAAATGACGCTGAGTTTGTGGAGAGCCTTGGCTGTGCAGACGTCACTGGGGTCAAGGTCCTCTCCATCTTTGGCAATACCGGCGATGGCAAGTCCCACACGCTCAACCACATCCTGTTTGGGGGTGAGAGCGTGTTCTACACCTCCAAGTCCCCCAGCTCCTGCACGGTGGGGGTGTGGGCCGCTTACAATCCCTCCCTGAGCCTCATCGCCCTGGATACAGAGGGTCTGTTGGGAGCAGCAGCCAATCAAAACCAGAGAATGCGTCTTCTTCTGAAGGTGAAGTCAGAGGTTTTTGATTGGTCTTGATGCTTTCAATCTATAGACGTATATATTTTTGCCTAGCTAAGGACAGGGAGCACTACAGTTTGTTGTTTGGAGTCATGTTAAGGTGTTTCCAGTAGCCATTACTTAGCTGCGTTTATTTGTGTCTGCCCAGGTGCATGTAGATAATCAAGTGCGCACTTAAGGAGTAATATGTCATTGCATTGCAGGGAATAAATATTTATTTTCTTATTTAAAAAAGGAATTGAATTATTTACTTTTATGTGTTTAAAGGGCTTTTGTGGTTTTCTGCAGAATGTCCTAACCTCTTTATTCAGTTAATTGAATAATCATCAAAATATTCAATTACAAAAATAATGGATTAAAACTGAGTTTGACCTCAGAGATTTTCTCTTAGAGAGAAAAATAGTTGGAATTAAACATGAATTAAAGCAGGGGTGTCAAACTCCAGTCCTCGAGGGCCACTGACCTCCAGTTTTTCGATGTGCCACCGGTACAGAAGACAGGAATGAAATGGCTTAATTACCTCCTCCTTGTGTAGATCAGTTCTCCAGAGCCATGCTAATGACCTATTCTATTCAGGTGTGGTGCAGCAGAGGCACGTCTAAAAGTTGCAGGACACTGGCCCTCGAGGACTGGATGTTGACACCCCTGAATTAAAGGAAACACAAACAAAATGACAAAAGAAAGCAAAAGAAAAACAAGAAACACTCCACAATTTATAAGCAAATAGGAGTTTCTCTGGATCAACTAATAGAAAAAAAGTAAAAGTATAAAAATACATATTTGTTCCCCGTGTTTAATAAGAATAAGTAGTCTGTAAGTTACAAACTCGTAGGGGTTTCTCTGGATTCAGGGTTCCCTAGGACAAGGTCTTGCTCTGATATTAAACGTTTAATGCTAAGTGTTGATCTAAGGTAATGAGTAGTTTCTATAGATGAACTAATAGGAGTTTCTCTGGATCTTTCCGTTCTTGTGATGTGATATTGTGATGCTTGTACTGCAATAATCTTCTACTATTCTTTCAGTAATAGTAGAAGATTTATCACACACGTTCTCATCTTCAGGTTTTGGCCGTGTCTGATATCGTCGTCTATCGCACGCGTGCGGAGCGTCTCCACAATGACATGTTCCAGTTCCTGAGCAGCGCGTCCAGGGCCTATCTGAAGCACTTCACCCGAGAGCTGAAGGCTCTGTCCAGTCGGTGCGGTCT